AGCCTCAAGCTATCCCCCTGGGTAGAGTAATATGGCATCACAGCTCACAGCAACCTCCAACTTCTGGGCTCAAGCGAGTCTCCTGCCTCTACCTCCCACGTAGCTGGGACCACAGGTGCCTGCCACAACACCTGGCTATTTTTTGGTTGCAGCCGTCGTTGTTTGGCAGGCCTGAGCTGGATTCGAACCCGCCACCTTAGGTGTATGTGGCTAGCACCTTAGCCACTTGAGCCACAGGCACCGAGCCAAACACATCTTATTGCATACTAAATTTAGCTTGTCTAATCCTCTTGCCTCAGTTTTTCTATTTTTTTTTCTGAGATAGTCTCACTATGTTACCCTCTGTAGAGTGCTGTTGCATCACAGCTCACAGCAACCTCAAACTCTTGGTCTTAAGCGATTCTCTTGCCTCAGCCTCCTGAGTAGCTAGAACTACAGGTGCCCATCACAGTGCCTGGCTACTTTTTGCTTGCATTTATCATTGTTGAACAGGCCCAGGCCAGGCTTGAACTTGCCAGCCTCAGTGTATGTGACTGGCGCCCTACTCACTGAGCTACAGGAGCCAAGCCAGTTTTTATATTTTTAGTAGGGACAGGGTCTCGCTTTTTTGCTCAGGCTGGTCCCGAACTCATGAGCTCAAGCTATCCACCTGCCTTATCCTCCTAGAGTGATAGGATTACAGGCATGAGCCAGTGTGCCTGGCCCATAATAAACACACTTTAATGAAGAAGTATAAATACTAGCTGAGCATTGTGGCAGGCACCTGTAGTCCCAACTACTTGGGAGGCTGAGGCAAGAGGATTACTCAAGCCCAAGACTTTGAGATTGCTGTGAGCTATGATGCCATAACACTCAACTCCAGGGCAACAGAGTGAAACTCTGTCTAAAAAAAAAGCAAACACTATAAAACCACCATCCAACTCGGCACCTGTGGCTCAAGCGGCTAAGGCTCCAGCCACATACACCTAAGGTGGCAGGTTCGAATTCCCAGCCTGGGCCTGCCAAACAACAATGATGGCTGCAACCAAAAAATGGCCGGGCGTTGTGGTGGACACCTGTAATCCCAGCTACTTGGGAGGCTGAGGCAGGAGACTCGCTTGAGCCCAGGAGTTGGAGGTTGCTGTGAGCGTGATGCCATTGCACTCTACCCAGGGGGATAGCTTGAGGCTCCATCTAAAAAAAAACAAAAAAAAAAAACCACCATCCAAGACACAAAATAGAAACATCTCACTGTGTTCCTGTGTGCCCCTCCCTGATCATAACCCACTTCCTACCCCTAGAGATAATTACTGCCTAACTTTGAAGATAATGATTTTCTTGGCTTTGTCTATAAATTTTACCTTTTACCTATGCATCTCAGTATAGCTTAGTTTTGACTATTTTGTTGTTGCTGTTGTTGTTTTTGAGACAGTTTCACTCTGTGGCCATGGCTAGAGTGCAGTGGTGTCATCATAGCTCGCTGCAACTTCAAAATCCTGGGCGTGAGCAATCCTCCTGCCTTAGCCTCCCTAGTGGGTGGGACTATCCGACTGCACCACCATGCTTGGCTAATTTTTATGTTTTTAGTAGAGACAGGGCCTTGCTCTTATTTAGGCTAGTGTCAAACACCTGAACTCAAGTGGTGTTCCTGCCTTGGCCTCCCAGAGTTACAGGTGAGCCACTTTCCTCACCTGGCT